CATGAGTACAAATACATTTCTATCCGCCACTCTAAAATGCAGTGCAATGGAAAGGTGGAAAGTCATGCCTCACGATGAAGTAAATTTTCTGTTCTGAGTACAATAGGTCTGATGGAAACAGGATGGTGTAATTCACAAGGACATTCTGTTAATGGATGCTATTGCCATTGCCCCACAATGTAAAATAACTGGTGATGAGCCAAAGGTGGGATTGGTTATTAAAACTAATTTCCATGTCCCTTGCAATAGAACGGTTCTTTTCTCAGACTTTTTTTGGTGTTAAAATCTTCACACAAGCTTCATTAAAGGAAGCAAGAGTGTACCATATTATTGCCAAAGTAGCTGGACTGATATTCCTTGTCCTCCTGCTGAGGTCAGGATTGTTCCCTAAAAATGTTTTTGGCCATTTACCTCTCCACACTTCTGTTTGTACTAAACTATTTTTGATGGGTCATTTATTGACCTTTTATTTTAAGTGCTCCTGTTAAATATTTCCCATATGGTAAATGTGCCCTTTTCTTCAAGTTGCAAAAGAAATGAATACATCAGGCACCTTTTCAAATTAGCTCCCTTCCATTAAACTGCATCCCCCCTTTAAAAAAAGAAGTCCTTTTACTCTTGTGTGTTAAATTTATGTGGCTAGTCCATAAACAGTTTCTAATTAGACACATGTGCATTCAAATGTGGACTTGTGTGTTATAAACCGACACTGAAGTGTATAAGAAACTGTCAGTCAGATCAAAAGTCAATCCAAAATCATCCCATTTGCAGAGCTGAGATGCTGTCACAGTTAGTTAGCCCTAAATGTTTAAAACATCAACCAAAACTTTTATTCTAATTGAGCATGAGTTGAAAGGCTGAACACTTTGATGTCTTTGCTTTTATCATTTGTATATAGCTTAGAACTGCAGACTTTACCCCCCTGGAAATAGTAGACATTGCTTCTTACTGAAAAATATACAGGTAGGTCAATCTGTATTTGTGAGGCTAGTTTATAGTTCTCAGCCATGTATATAATTACTTACAACACACAAGGGCTTGCAAAAAGAAAGGAAACCCATTTTTCTCTTTGTTATTTAACATTGTTTTCTTCCTATTAATGGACAGCATGAAACAGAAATACATCCTCTCAGAATATTGTCTAGAATTGATTCCTGACTTTAGTATAGCTAAATCTCCACGAGGTCCCCCCAATAAGAAATGAAACTCAGATGTATTTTATTATTCAGTTGTTTAACTATGAAAACTTTCTAAAACTTACAGAAAATGTATTTCTGTGTTAAAACAACAAGCCTAAGTACATGAATATTAGCTGCATTTTAGGACATGAATTGAGAGTGATTAAAAGGGGGGTGGGATGCAAAAAAAGGTGCCTATGGAGAAAGGGTAGGTTATAAATGAATGAATGAATATTTATCTGGATAAATCTTTATCTTTATCTCCCCACCTCTTCCTGCTCCTTGGCTGATGAGTGGGAGGGTATGTATTGGCCTATTTAAGATTAGGCAGTGGTCTAGAAACAGCCTGGGGAGTAGAGATTGCATACTTCTGAACAAGAAATAGAGGTGGGGAGAAATGCACTTTTCTTACAGAAACTTTGCATACTGACTAGAAAATGTGCACATTGCCCAGAATTGTAGATGATGTACACATATACATATTCCCCAGAGCCTTTGGGGGTTACGCATAATGGCCAGAGAATGTACAGAATTCAACCAAGATAAGCACATTCCCCAAGGCTTGTTATGGCTATGCATATTGACTGGGGATGTCCCCAATTCCCTCTTCAAGGATCATGTGTTCATTCTCCATGAGACCTGGTAAATGTGCACAACAGCTGATTATTATGCACATTAACTGCTCAACTTACATTCCTCTTAACATGTATATGTACATGTTGAACCTTACAATTTGATTTGAATTTCACTTTATATTAAATTTTGGTAGCAAGTTTAGCTCTTTCTTTCTTTCTTTCTTTCTTTCTTTCACATTCTACCATCCCAGCCTGCACTATCCAATATGTTTTCAAACTCCTTGGTGCCACAGCTTGAAAACAGCACTTGTCTTGGGCACATGTCCCATCTGAGAAACTGTAGGTCCAAGTCTATGGACCAGTTTGTAAACAGGTGCCCCCTTTTCAATACCTCTGAGAGAATGTGGAATCACTCATTCCTTTGTGATCCAGGTGGGATGAACTATTGCCTGGTGTGTGTGTGTATGTGCATGCGCATGTGTGTGTGTGTGGCTGCTGTAATTTGCATGGTTGCAAATTGCATGGTTGCATGATTACAACAGCTCAGAAAGGATCTGAAAGTGGTCAAGACTGCAGTGGTCAAGTGTCCACCCGCTACATGGACCTGCTGGTTCATGCTGTCAGTGCAATCACATCATCATATCCAGATGGCAAGCCTCCCCTCTCTTTTTCCTAGATACAGTGAGGATTGCCAGCCATATGAACTTGCCTGAAACAGTATTGAATTCATAACCTAAACTCAGAGCTAACCCCCACGACAAAAGAATAAGCCTGTATTTCCTCCTGTCTCACCCTTAGCTGGAAGGTGCTGAGACAAAAAGCCTTTTCATATCTACATAATCAATTGTCTTCCCTTGCCGGAAAATACGTCTTCAAGACTGCTGTCTGGGCAGGGGCATAAGAAGACAGTTTGACACTCTGTGCATGCCACTGAAGATACTAGCTCCGAATCTGAGCACCGGTTGAACTGAGAAAATCCACAGAGCCTGTAGGTATCCGGCCGTGATTTTAGCTATTATTTTTCTCTTTTATGGTGTTACCTTTTAAACTGCGTTTGAGATCTTTGTTGTAGACTAGTACCCTGTGGCACTGGCCTGGCGTTGAGAGACATCAGTGAGATACAGCACATAAAAGCGTACCCTATAAGTGTGACGAATGGCAATTACAAGGCTGGGTTGGAGCTAACTTGTGAATGATCGGGTGAATTGGGGGGGAAAGGCCGGTGCACTCCGCCTGTTAGGAGCAGTATAAGAATGTGGGCCGTGCCAGGTTGTGTGCCACAGGCGGGCACCTTGCTGAGAACACAGGGAAAGCATACGACCCCTTATTAACATGCCCAGCATCTCAACTAGCTCTTTATCAAACAAATCAGGAGCATCGGAAATCGGCCACGCCGTTAATAAGAAGGCAGCTGATGTGCAGAGGAGCAGAGTGTAGCTTTTGAATTGTGTAACGGGGTGGGGTGGAGAATGCAAAAGCTGTGTCTTGGTGTCCCAAACATACAACTGCTGCGATTAAAATATAAAGGGTTGCAATGCACTGCCTTAAAGGCAAAGAAACTAACTAGGCATTGCTGTTTGCCTTGAAGGAGGAGAATAGTAAGGGGCTGCAAATCCCTCTTTATCTGGGACATACACAGGACTGGCACACTTACTTTTACAAGGGTTGCTCGCTGAGCCTGTTTTGCTACTGATACTTTACCAATACAGTGGTACCTCGGGTTACATACGCTTCAGGTTACATACGCTTCAGGCTACATACGCTTCAGGTTACAGACTCCACTAACCCAGAAATAGTGCTTCAGGTTAAGAACTTTGCTTCAGGATGAGAAGAGAAATCGTGCTCCAGCGGCACCTCAGCAGCAGGAGGCCCCATTAGCTAAAGTGGTGCTTCAGGTTAAGAACAGTTTCAGGTTAAGTACGGACCTCCAGAACGAGTTAAGTACTTAACCCGAGGTACCACTGTATTTATATTTTATTTAAGGAATTTATATACTGCTTAATCATTAGCCTTTCTAAGTGGTGCATGTTATTGAGAGAACAGCTACTGCTTCTATGCTATTGCTACCATTAGCACATCTGTAGCACCAATATAGCTACAGCAGTGACTAAGGGACTGAGTTGTAATCCAGGAAACTCCCTGTTTATCACTTGTCTATGCAGGGAACTTGCTAGAGGTCTTAGGGAAGCCAGTGACTCAAAGCATCAGTTCCCCATGAGCAATGTGGACTTTCTTACAAGGCTGTTGTAAGAATTACTAAGGAAACATATCTGAAGTATATGCAGCTTGAACATGCAGCTTGAGACCAGTATTCCTAAAAAGTTTGCCTACCCCCTACATACCCAACTGGTGACTGATGATGATGTTGATGGATTCAGGTGTTCAAGTCATTCTTAAAATGACAACAAAGCTGAGAGCTTCAGTGATGGTCCTAGTCCTGCCCCAGAAATGCCCCTGGTGCCACTAGAAGTCGTGGGTCTGGCAGAGATGCCATTCATGTAGACATGGGCTTGGCTTTGTCATCTGTCATGTAGATCTTTGCATTTTACCCTATTAAGAGAAAGTTAGGTGTTTTCAGACTTTTGCCACAGTTCAACATATGTAATTAAACAATGGAGTTACAAGTTTTAAAAAAACTGTATACATTTAATTAGTCTCCTTTTGAAAATTCTTCATAATTGCTGATGATGTTTCTCCTGTCTAGAAATGGTATGCTATGGGGGACAGCAGCAAGGAGAGGATGTTAGGAAACCTTATCAGGTCAAATGTGTGGTAGTGCTTTTATTGTCACGGTTTCGTCGATAACAGTGGCAATCCTTAACTAAAAGACCATAATGATAAATTTTGAGGCCCCTGAATATTCAGAATAGCATAAGAAGGCACAAAGGCCACACATTAGCTCATATGTAGTTATGTAGATCCACTGTGCATTGCTTTAAACTTATGCATGAGAAAATAGTACAAAAGATGCATTTTTGTTTTCTGTGGGTGGGGTTTCTTTTGTGAGGAGGGGTCATGAATTCTGTGAAAGTAACAATAGAGCAAATGGGACTTCCCTCTGGTGGCTGTTCCAAATTTTTTATTTTCTTATCTTGTCTATGGATATGAACAGGACAACCCCTAAAATTACTTTCTCGTAACTGTGTAGTGAGCGTGAGCCATAAGTCACTTAAGCCTTAACACCCATAATTAATTATATCAATATGAATTTAATATATTGGGCTATTTCAGTTGTCATCCATGGAATGGATACCCTAAGTTAAATTCATGGTACAGCATCTGCTTTGCATGCAAAAGATTCCAGGTTCAATCCCTGGCATCTCCAGGTAGGCCTGAGAGAGACTCTCATCTGAAAATCCTGGAGTCAATGCCAGTTCTTTTTGGTCTTACTGAGCTAGATGGACACATGGCCTGAGATGGAATAGGGCAACTCCCTATGTTCCTGTGTTAACTATCATCTCTGGAAAGACTAGGCTTAGAACAGTTTCAAGAATAAAGCAACCTTTAAAAATACTAGTGAGGATTTAGAAGTCTCCCATCCAGAGCTTCAGAGTGGCCAACAACAGCTGCTAGTTATGAGAGAGGTCGGTACAACTCAACTCTGCTCGCTTTCATAAGCTGCAGGAGTTTAACGGGCGGCAGTTCACACCCACTTGACCCATTTGGCCTGCAACAACTTGAGGCGGGAGATAAATGTCACAGCCAGCCCCACAAGGCCTCATGGGCCTTGTAAAGCTTTGGTTTCACTCTAGATTGACAGGTATGAGTGCTAACATGCAAACATTAAACAGGCTGATGTATGCATGCCCATCTTTTGCACCTTAAAAGGAACAGGAAAAATAAAACCATTTTTACCTTTGAAGCATGAACTATGCGTACAACTTCCAGTCAGAAAAGTGGTTACAGATGTCCAAACAGCCTATCAGTACCTAAATTAACAATCTGGTTTTATAGGCTTTTTCTAGATCATTTAGAAGAAGTTCCTGATTGGATGATCTGTTTAATAGTGGAAAACACAACCTTGGAAGGTGGTGGACTTTCCTTCATTAGATATTTTGAAGGAGAGGCTGCATGGCCACCTCTCAGGAATGCTATAGATGTGGATCTCCTACACTAGTAGTTGGTTGGCCCAGATTGCCTTTGAGGTGCCTTCCAGCTCTTATGATCTTATAACCTAGTTCTATGCACACATTTTCCCCTCCCCCTACACAATTCAAATACAACTGAGTTTTTTGAACATAACTGAGTAAAGCTCCTGTATATTATGTCAAGAATAATATTATGTGTTTTTTAAGCAATTTTCAAGGCTTTGGAAGGCTTTGTACAAAACTGGAAGAACATAAAAGAATTTGTAAGACAAAATTAAGCATTCTTTAGAAAACCTACAATGTAAATTCAGGTGAACAAAAATAAATGTGAAGTAGCATTTGAACTAGTGTTCCAACCAGATAAGTAACAAAAGGGCTTCCATGTGTGCATTGATGAGGGGTGTGATTGTCCCATTGCAACTCATCATGCTCAGCTTAAGGTTTGTATGGAGCCCTCCATGTATACAACTGCATATAGACTCTGTCAGTGTGACTGAGGAATCTACAAAAGGCAGGCTCTTCAATCACTTATTTGGATTCTATTGAAGCCTTCCTAACCCAGTGCCCTCTAGATGTTGTTGAACTACAACTCCCATCAGCCCCAGCCAACATGGCTTGTCAGGGATGACTGGAGTTGTATTGCAGTAACAACTGGAGACGTGAGACTGGGGGCGGAAGGTCTACTGGCAAACACTTGCAGGGCTCCATACTGACCTTCAACATCTGACTGATGGTTGGAGATAGAGCCTCCTGCTATTGCCACACTTCTTTCAAACTTACACATGTTCAATGAATGCCTGATTTTGAAACAGAAAAAAAGCTAGAGGCTGAGAAATCTGCATATAAACTTAAAGTTATAGAGTCCATAACTTTACTTAGCTGATTTCTGTTCTGGAAGCAATCCTCTCTGCCTTCAGTTGGCAAAAGAAGTCACACTCAGCACTGATCCATGGAAATCGGGCAAAGATCTGGAAAGTATGTTTTTTTTAAAAAAAAATCACTTATGAAGTACAGAACTCTTTATATAAGGTAATGGGACCCCTGACCATTAGGTCCAGTCGTGACCGACTCTGGGGTTGCGGTGCTCATCTCGCTTTATATGCCAAGGGAGCTGGTGTACAGCTTCTGGATCATGTGGCCAGCATGAGTAAGCCGCTTCTGGCAAACCAGAGCAGCGCAAGGAAACGCGGTTTACCTTCCCGCCGGAGCGGTACCTATTTATCTACTTGCACTTTGAGGTGCTTTCGAACTGCTAGCTTGGCAGGAGCAGGGACCGAGCAACAGGAGCTCACCCAGTCGTGGGGATTCGAACCGCCGACCTTCTGATCAGCAAGTCCTAGGCTCTGTGGTTTAACCCACAGGCTTTAAAAATTGTTCTAACAATGAGTTTTTGAACAAAGGTGGCAGAGAAGTGAAATAGTTGGGCTTATTGGTCTAGTAGTTATTGGGGAGTTATTGGGGAGAAAAGAAGCAAAAGTGATGCAAGGAAGAGGAAAGAAATAGGTGACATTTGAGGGTGCCTAGGTTCAAGCAGAATAGACTTCCAATTGAGCAATGGGATCTCCCGTTCCTACCCTCCCCACTGAAGCCCCCTACTGGGGGGGTGCATGAGAGGAAAAAGGGATCCCATTGTCGGCACAGGTGCATAATGGTTGTGGCAGGTAAAGGGAGGGCCACAAGAATGACACAGGAGACTGGTATCGGGTTGAATTAGGCCACAACTTACACAGGAAAGTCTAGGTTTGGCTAAGGCATTAGACATGTATCTCACACCAGGCAACCCGCCTGCTACCTGATAGAAACCTGGTGGGGTCAACCCTGTGCTGGGGAGTCACCCCCAACATACATTTGATGCCACGACCCCACACAGGCCACCATTGGAAGAAGTGTATTGACCCTTTGGTCCACCAGTGGACTCCCGGACAGAGTCACCCCTCCTGGACCCCTCTAATGGGGTACTCCTGTGACTAAGGATGCAGTCCAATGCCTAATCTGCCAAAGTTGTGATGGTTGCTATGAGGTAGCCAAAAAACCTACATGCTGGCCAATTTGCTTGCAGGAGAAAATTCCTCCCTGGTCCCGAAAATACGGTGATGAATTAACCATAGCAAGGTCCATAGGCAACATGCCCACTCTCCCCCCCCCACCGGTGGATGGAAAAATCCCCTGACACCTGGTTGCCCCCTTAAATAGGCTGGTGATAGGCTGCTCACAGCAGTAAGCCCCAGCCTCTGATTGGCTGAATGGGCACTGCCCACCCTTACCTGACGGTCCGATGCAGCCAAAGGTGGTCAGTGCCAGCCATCACCTCCCCTGTCCATGCCTGGAAGATGGCAGCCTCCCTGAACCCACCATGGCCACGTCATGCAGCAATGGCCGCCTCTCCAGATCAGCAGATATTATGTGAGCAGAAGTCCACTCACTCAAAATAGATTTTTTCACTTTGGGAGAAGAAGGACCAGCCCCATGTGCCTGTCGGAACTCCATTTGACCGAGCTACTCCTCCGGTCGAGTCTTCGGAATCTCCTCCAATGGTGATTAATGACCTAAGCCTTTGATGAGGCTTCAGGCACATTCCCATTACGCAGAGTATCCAAACAGCAGCAGAAGGAGCGAGAAATGTGTGCTACATTGCTACGTTTATTGCTAACTACGCAGGACAGAAAAGAATATGCATCTGCTCTCTGTGAAAGTCAGAGAACCAACTGGAACAAAGAAACAGAAAACCAGTAACATCAACATCCGTCTCCCGTCTCCCATGACACTTCCAACAGTCTGGAATATAAACAGAGTCTAGTGACTCCAAACACTGTACAGTGGCATAACAGAAACCTAACAGTGCCATCCTTCTGACACAAATTGTATATTGGTGAACGAAATGTGGGAAACATCATTTGCTCCAGTTATTATTTCCAAACAATTTTTTTCTCCTCTCCTAAAAACAACCCAGTAACATCTCTTTCCAGAACAAAGGATGTTTCAGGGTTTGCAACCTTAGACTTCCACCTTAAATAAATTTTCCATCCAAGTAATTTATTTACACAGAACATGGCATACAAAATTGTTATGTCCAAGGAAATGTGTCTGTTTGCCACTAGACGCCCAGTGCAATGTGATGCACGCTTAATCAGAAGAAGCCTCACTGTGTTCAATAGAGTTCACACTCCATGGGCATAGAATTGTCACTTTATTTCACAACAGTAGGAACTCTGCTCTTACTTTTTTGTTTCTGTGTAGCTTTTTCTTTCAGCGAATATCCTTTTAAAGCCATGATCTTGTTTTCCTGGGCTAAAATAAATATGTGAGTAACTGAGGACGCTGGCAATATTTCTTTCATTTGCCTTGCCATTAAGTGTAAAGGTATGCCTGACCGCTAACCTGACATGTCCCTGTCACTTGGGCACTCTGGGTTCTTTCCTCTTCCTAATGGACATTCTTTCACAGGCTTCTGTGGCCTACCTGAGTACAATATTTTAAATTTTAATTCGCTTTACATTTAGGCCAGTCATAAATACCATTTAGGTACCCAGTATTCTGTTCTGTACAATCCCTAAGGTGGTGCTTTTATTTTAATGAAGCCATTTTGGAATGTAAGAGAGAGAAAAAAAAATCATCTTTGATTGAACATATTTGTCAGTTTTATTCCCCAACTGGTATTTTCATGTGGAAAATGCTCACCCTTTTTCAAAAACTGAGGAAGAGTGAGTGCTTCAAGTACCTGGATTAAAAGTTTTCCCTGATATTCCGCTTTCAACTCTATCTGAATAAATGGCCTTTCAAATGAATTTTGAATTATATGATTGTTGAACATGGCCAAAAGAGGGTTATAAAATAAAAACATGCATTGGAACAGTTCGATGTTCCTTGTAGAACAACCATGAGATATCACTGAAGTGAAATAAAATGCAGAAAGCTATAGAAGACTGAAGTTGAAACGGAGGGAGGGAGAGAGAGAGCATGAGAATGAACAAAAAGTCTAGGTTTTCCTTTTTTGCTTTCACTGAGGGAACCACATTTTGTGTTGTTGGTTCATGAGATGTATACTTTCAAGGACTTTCTTTATTTTTGTGATTGTAAGTACTTTAAACTGTTTTTAAAATTTGTGTTTCAGTTGTTGTAACTGAACTGAACTGAACTGAACTTGCCCTGGAACTTTAAGCATAATAAATGGACGAGAAGAAAGGGGGGGAGGGGATGAAGAAGAAGAAGAAGAAGAAGAAGAAGAAGAAGAAGAAGA